AAATAAAAATCTTAAAAAAAAAGTTAAAGAAGAAAGTAAAGTACTCAGAGCATCATCAATACAAAATTATACAAACACGGCAAATTTTATTTAAAACATTTTTGAGTGCTTTCAAATGTAGTTTCCTAAGAAGGGAGTAACTGTATATGTTCTATTAAGCTCTAATGCTTCAGGAAACCACAAAACAATCCTTTTATCAGCTGAGCCAGCTACTGATCATATTGACGGGATTAGAAGCCATGACTAGGAGACTGAAACAATGAGCATTTGTGACCAGCTACAGGAACACAGCAAACCCAGAGACGTATGCATTCCCTGGGAACCGGTGCTTCAGACAGAGCCAGTAGTCTGACGTCAGGAGGGCCATCGTGAGTTATGAAGCACACATCTGCAGTAGTTCAAAGCAAGTCTTGAATCACATAGAAAACAAAGGCCAAAGCAAGGCACAGCATTAAGAATCAAGACAAGAATTCAGAAGCATATATATGGCGCATCACAATGTCCTGCCCATTGGGCATCTGAGCGGATCTAGTTGCAACAAGCATAGTGTGTAGTAGCTGCAGGTCAATCAGTCCCAGCCATTCCTTCCACCATAGTGGCCTCCCAGAGACTGGGGACTAAACATGCCATTCGTCTTCACCACTATCCATCAGTTGGGGCTTCAGGAGAAAAACCAGACTGCTTATAGACTAAATAAAGAACTTATATTTTCTCTTTGTGTCTGAGTTGTAGTGTGAGTTAAATATCCACCCTGCTACATTAGCTATTGGCTGGACTTCAAGCAGAATCAAAGGGCAAAGAGAGTCTGAAATTAGGCATGGAAATGTCTAGCTAGCCAGAGAAGTACAAGGAGACTAAATGAAGCACACATACACACCCCTTTTTTCTTTTTTTACAGCTTTATTGACATAACATTCACATACTGTATAATTTACCCGTTTAAAGTATATAATCCAATGGCCTTTAGTATGTTCACAGACTTGTACATCCATTACCACAATCAATTTTAGAACACTTTCATTACCCCAAAGAGAAGCCCCCCACAGCCCCACCCCATGCCATCACTCTGGGCAACCACTAATCTACTTTCTGTCACTATGGATTTGCCTATTTGGAAATCTCATATAAAGAGAATCATAAATATGTGGTCCTTTATGACTGGTTTCTTTCACTTAGCATGTTTTCAACATTCATTCATGTTATGTCATGGATATATCAGTACTTCATTCCTTTTAATTGTTGAATAATAGTACATTTAGTGGATTTACCACATTTTACTTATCCATTCATCAGCTAATGGACATTTAGGTTGTTTCTATTCTTTGGCTGTTATGAATAATGCTGCATGAACATTCATGTACAAACTCCTGTGTGGACAAATGTTTTCATTTCTCTTGGGTATACCTATAAGTGGAGTTGCTGGATCATATGGTAACTCTGTGTTTAACTATTTGAAGAACTACCAGACTGTTTTCTAAAGCGGCTGCACCATTTTCCATTCCCATCAGCAGAGTATGAGGGTTCCAATTTCTCCACATTCTTGCCAGTTAGTTGTTATTATCTGTCTTTGTCATTATGACATCCCACCCCCTATTTAAAAATCTCAAACAGATCTTCTGGATCCTTGGATCTAGAAACTGAACCAGTTTCTTGGTTAGCAAAGCCCACCTACAAAAAGCAAAATTCTTGGGTGCCTGGGTGGCTCAGCCCATTAAACGTCTGACTCTTGATCTGCACTCAGGTGTAGACCTCAGGGTTGTGAGTTCAAGCCCCACGTTAGGCTCCATGTTGGGCTTCATGCTGGGCATGGAGCCTACTTTAAAAAGAACAGCCAAAATTCTGAGCACACACATGCCTAATGAGCAAGCAGGAAGAAAAGGCCATAGGGGACCCAGGGGACTCAGTCCCTTCTGACTATAAACACAAAGGAGGCCTGGATTGAGATTGCTTCTAACTGAACTTGTTTGAGGCATGGCTAGGACACGATATGTAGGTGAGAGAAGATGAGCAAAGGTTGGGACTTCACTTGACAATTCAATGGAGAGGGGAATATGGGGACATTGCTAAACTTATCTTCTCTCCTCCATTCCTACTTGGTATCTTCCCACATACTAAAAACCTTGGGGATCTCCTCTACTTTTAAAGTTCTATGATTACATGACTTTATTCCTGTTAAGTACAATTTAAATGGATCATGCAATGTATGTCTTTTAAAAAGAGAAGGCTTTATCTTAATGAGATTCAGTTTAAGTGTTCTTAATGTTTTTAAAAAATATTTTTACTTTTTGTACACCTGAAACTAACATAATATTGTATGTCAACTATACTTCGATTAAAAAAAATTTACTTTTAATGTTTCCTGAAGCTTGTTGAAATATTATAACTCTATCCATAGCATTAGTGTTTCCTAGAAGTCACTAAAAATTCCTATAGTGTACCTAAGAAAAAAGGTGAATATAGTTAAAAGGGAAAAAATACATTTATTCCTTGGAAAGTACACTGATTACTATTTAGCCAGTTAGAGAACTGTGTTCTTTCACCCTTGAGAATTGTGCCATGGAGTCAATTAATTTCTTCGAATTGCAATATAATGACCACATCTGAAAATATAGGAAAAAATGAAATAGAAGGATGGAGGATTCAAAATAAGGAGAGCCATTGCCAAACAAAATACCAACCAACCAAATTAGAAGATATTACACATGCTCTTCCTTATTTAACATGGAAGGAAACTGCAATTATTATTTGGTTAATAAGGCACTTCCTGGGCCCTAAAGTTACTAGTTCTTCACTTCAACATACATTTTGTTGTGCAACTGCTGTGAGCCGGAAACCTTGTTAACTGCCAAAAATAAATAAGAGAGTCTCTGCTGGGAAAAGGCAACACAGGGCTTGGCCTCTGCCAGGCAGATGCAAACACACTATCCAGCTGCAATCCATTCATTCTATTACAATAGGAAAGAAGGAGAGTGGAAATGGTGAAAAGGAGTGATTTACACCTAAACTGGGGAAGGAAGGGAAAGAGGAGAGGGAGGACAAAGGAATAGGGGCGTAGGGAACATGACCAGTGAACCTGGCTTTATAAGGAGTGGGAAGGATTTCACCAAGCAGGGAGAGACAAGACATTTGTGAAAACATTCTAGTGGGAAAGCAAATATTTTGGAAACTTATAAGGTTTAACCATAAGAAAATGTCAATAGTCAACCACTTGTGGCCTATAAAAATAGCACATTCACATAGTTCCAACTCATACAAAACAAAATAATCCCCATGGATGTGTAGGGTGAATGTTTAGGACTTGTAGGAGAATTAGTTAGAAAAGAAGTTGGGGTCAGAGTAGGAAGAGCCTTGAATCGCCTTCTAAGGTTTCAACTTTATCCCATAGGTGATGGAGCAGTCAATTCACAAAAGAACTTTTGACAAATGACCAATAAATGTATTTATTTTTTAAAAAAAGATTTTATTTATTTGTCAGAGCGAGAGAGAAAGAGAGAGAGATACCACAAGCAGGGAGAGTGGCAGGCAGAGGGAGAAGCAGGCTTCCCGCCAAGCAGGTACCTGGGATCATGACCTGAGCCGAAGGCAGACGCTTAACCAACTGAGTCATCCAGGCTCCCCCAATAAATTTATTTTTAATGTCCAAAGAATTTTAGGCTTCAATGAAAACTATATATCATTTTCAATACCACAAAGAAAAAAAATTTTAACGATAATATTCAATGCTATTAAGGACTCAGGGAAACAGGATGCTCTCATACACTGCTGTGTGCGTACACTGGAATAATCTTGCTGGAAGACAATCAGAATACCCTTTGACTAAGCATTCTAGGACTTTATCCCAAAGAGAGTCATGGATATTAGAAAAAAAAAAGTTTAGCCACCAAGATATTCTTAATGTCCAACAACAGCAAGTTGGTTAAACCAATCAGGAATCATCCTTACAACTTAACACTATGTAGCTACTTTAAATATTTAGATGAATATTTAGTAACATGGAAGTGCTCATGAACTTTTGCTATATGAAAAAATTAGGTTAGGGGCGCCTGGGTGGCTCAGTTGGTTAAGCGACTGCCTTTGGCTCAGGTCATGGTCCCAGGGTCCTGGGATCGAGTCCCACGTCGGGCTCCCTGCTCCGCGGGAAGCCAGCCTGCTTCTCCCTCTCCCACTCCCCCTGCTTGTGTTCCCTCTCTTGCTGTCTCTCTCTCTGTCAAATAAATAAATAAAAATCTTAAAAAAAAAGTTAAAGAAGAAAGTAAAGTACTCAGAGCATCATCAATACAAAATTATACAAACACGGCAAATTTTATTTAAAACATTTTTGAGTGCTTTCAAATGTAGTTTCCTAAGAAGGGAGTAACTGTATATGTTCTATTAAGCTCTAATGCTTCAGGAAACCACAAAACAATCCTTTTATCAGCTGAGCCAGCTACTGATCATATTGACGGGATTAGAAGCCATGACTAGGAGACTGAAACAATGAGCATTTGTGACCAGCTACAGGAACACAGCAAACCCAGAGACGTATGCATTCCCTGGGAACCGGTGCTTCAGACAGAGCCAGTAGTCTGACGTCAGGAGGGCCATCGTGAGTTATGAAGCACACATCTGCAGTAGTTCAAAGCAAGTCTTGAATCACATAGAAAACAAAGGCCAAAGCAAGGCACAGCATTAAGAATCAAGACAAGAATTCAGAAGCATATATATGGCGCATCACAATGTCCTGCCCATTGGGCATCTGAGCGGATCTAGTTGCAACAAGCATAGTGTGTAGTAGCTGCAGGTCAATCAGTCCCAGCCATTCCTTCCACCATAGTGGCCTCCCAGAGACTGGGGACTAAACATGCCATTCGTCTTCACCACTATCCATCAGTTGGGGCTTCAGGAGAAAAACCAGACTGCTTATAGACTAAATAAAGAACTTATATTTTCTCTTTGTGTCTGAGTTGTAGTGTGAGTTAAATATCCACCCTGCTACATTAGCTATTGGCTGGACTTCAAGCAGAATCAAAGGGCAAAGAGAGTCTGAAATTAGGCATGGAAATGTCTAGCTAGCCAGAGAAGTACAAGGAGACTAAATGAAGCACACATACACACCCCTTTTTTCTTTTTTTACAGCTTTATTGACATAACATTCACATACTGTATAATTTACCCGTTTAAAGTATATAATCCAATGGCCTTTAGTATGTTCACAGACTTGTACATCCATTACCACAATCAATTTTAGAACACTTTCATTACCCCAAAGAGAAGCCCCCCACAGCCCCACCCCATGCCATCACTCTGGGCAACCACTAATCTACTTTCTGTCACTATGGATTTGCCTATTTGGAAATCTCATATAAAGAGAATCATAAATATGTGGTCCTTTATGACTGGTTTCTTTCACTTAGCATGTTTTCAACATTCATTCATGTTATGTCATGGATATATCAGTACTTCATTCCTTTTAATTGTTGAATAATAGTACATTTAGTGGATTTACCACATTTTACTTATCCATTCATCAGCTAATGGACATTTAGGTTGTTTCTATTCTTTGGCTGTTATGAATAATGCTGCATGAACATTCATGTACAAACTCCTGTGTGGACAAATGTTTTCATTTCTCTTGGGTATACCTATAAGTGGAGTTGCTGGATCATATGGTAACTCTGTGTTTAACTATTTGAAGAACTACCAGACTGTTTTCTAAAGCGGCTGCACCATTTTCCATTCCCATCAGCAG